AATAGAAACATTACGCAATTTCTAAAAATAGAAACATTACGCAATTTCTAAAAATAGAAACACTACGCAATTACTAAAAATAGAAAAATTACGCAATTACAAAAAATAGAAACATTACGCAATTTCTATAAATAGAAACATTACGCAATTTCTTAAAATAGAAACATTACGCAATTTCTTAAAATAGAAACATTACGCAATTTCTAAAAATAGAAACATTATGCAACTTCCATAAATAGAAACATTATGCAATTTCCATAAATAGAAACATTACGCAATTTCCATAAATAGAAACATTATGCAATTCTATAAATAGAAACATTACACAATTCTATAAACAGAAACACAGTTGTTGTTGTTGTTGATGATGATGATGATGATGATGATGATATATATATATATATATATATACGCACACACACACCAATAAATATATAATTATGGTCATTTAATGCACAAATCTGAGAAAATTCAGTAATTTAACCTTCATGGTCAAGGTCATTAAAGAGCCCAAGCAAATTTGGGTTTGATAAACAACAAGGTCTGGTCCTTAAGAATGTTCTGTTATAATATAAAGTTGATCCCTTCAATAATAGCAAAGTTACAGTCAGTTACCGCCAAAACAATGAAAATTTCAATAATTTGACCTTCAAAGACAATGTCATTAATGAGTGAAGGTCAAGGTCTTTCGGTATATTTTTAACAGTTATCTTTGAAGATTATTATGTTCAAGTTTCAAGACAATCCATTCAAAAATAACAAAGTTACAGCCAATAATAGCCAAAAAAATGAATATTTCAATAATTTGACCTTCAAAGTCAAGGTCATTTATGAGTGAAGGTCAAGGTCTGTCTAGTTATTTTTAAGGGATATCCCTGAAGATTATTATGTTCAAGTTTGAAGACAATCCATTCAAAAATAACAAAGTTACAGCCAATAATAGCCAAAAAAATGAAAATTTCAATAATTTGACCTTCAAAGTCAAGGTCATTTATGTGTGAAGGTCAAGGTCTGGCTGGTTATTTTTAAGGGATATCCTTGAAGATAATTATGTTCAAGTTTGAAGACAATCCATTCAAAAACAAGCAATTATCATAGTATTGCAAGCAATCCATAAGTCCCCTACCGGATGGAACCCCATCAACATTCTGAAGGGCCATTGGCCATTCACTAATGTTTTTATAGTAAATTTGTTGGAAAATTTCTTTAAAAGTGATCACAGGAAACAGTTTTGTTAAAAAGACAGACGGACTGAAAGACACTCTAAATTTAATATTTGAAACATCCGTTACCAAAATATAACAATTTAAAAAGCAAAATTCTTAAAGAGGAGATAACTCTGGAATTAAAGATGCAATTTCATAAAAATTTTCAGCTCTTTTTGACTCATCACAAATATTGTTATATTTGCCATGTTTTAAGCCTATTTGTTGCCAAGTTTGATATTTTTTCAAAATAAGAAGAACAGATAAGACATGCATAATCACAAGACTGCCATCTACCCATATGTCAAGTTTCATAAAAATATGTCCAGTACTTTTTAAGTTATCACTGGATTCAGTTTATGTGTAAAATTTGCCAAATTTTCAGTCTATGTGTTGCCATAGCAACCAGAATTTACAAAGAAAAAGATGTGCATAATCGCCATACTGCCATCTACACATATTACAAGTTTCATAAAAATAATTCTATTACTTTTTGCGTTAACACTGGATCCAGTTTATGTGTAAAAATTGCCATATTTTCAGTCTATTTGTTGCCATAGCAACCAGAATTTTCAATATAGGAAGAAAAGAAAAAGACGTGCATAATCTCCAGACTACCATCTACCCATATTTTAAGTTTCATAAAAATATTTCCAGTACTTTTTGCGTTATCACTGGATCCAGTTTATGTGTAAAATTTGCCATATTTTCAGCCTATTTGTTGCCATAGCAACCAGAATTTTCAACATAGGAAGAAAAGAAAAAGACGTGCATAATCTCCATACTGCCATCTATCCATATATCAAGTTTCATAAAAATATTTTCAGTACTTTTCAAGTTATCGCGGGATCCAGTTTTGTGGACGGACTGACGGACTGACAGACAGACGGACAGACAGACGGACGGACAGACGGACGGAGGGTAAACCTAAAGTCCCCTCCGGTAAACCGGTAGGGGACTAATAACAAAGTAACAGCCAATAACAGCATGAACAAGCAAAAATTGGACTTTTAACCTTGAAGGTCAAGGTCATTTATGGATGAAGGTCAAGGTTAGTGTGGTCTACTGAAAGGTCTTGTCCCAAGGGTTGTTGTGGCCAAGTATGAAGACAATACACCAAGAAATAAAAAAGTTATGATCCAGGTATAAGTTTGCGGACGGCAACGGCAATGGCAACGGCAACGCCGACCAGACTATAACAATACCTCTACTTTTTTTTTCAAAAAAAAAAAAAGTCGAGCTAAAAAACAAGATTGCATTTGTGAAAAATGCTATGCCACTGCATTTATACAACACTAAATAGTAGTGTAGGAACAGATTTTTTTTTGTTTCTATACATCTGAAGATTGTCAAAGTGCATACATTGTCAAAATCTAGGTCAGCTGATATCAAAGTTCACTTTACATCTTAATCTGTGCACATGGTTCAAATTTCATAGCTGTACATCAAAGGACAAGAAAGCAGGTCACATCATCAAAATCTAGGCCACTTGATATCAAAGTTCAATTTTACAACTAAAACTGTGCACATGGTCAAAATTTCTTTGCTGTACATCAAAGGACAAGAAAGTAGGTCACTGTCCCCTTGGGCAAGGAAAAATTTTGACCCAAGGGTTTAATGCAAAACAATCTTGATACAGGTCCACCAAACAACATTAAATGTCAAATATCTAAGCTGTAGCTTTCTCCATTATTTCTCCATTCAAAAAACATTTGTTTTAGTTTCATTTTTGTACATAATGAGAATCAATGCCCCCTGGCAGGGCAAATTTTGACACCAGGGGAAAAATTTGAACAACTTTTGTAGACCTATAGATGATATTATATAGCAAACATAAAAGCTCTAAGCCTTTGTCAAGTCAGAGAAGAGGATTTTTCAAGTTTTTTCTATATATATATATATAATAGGGATGGCAACGAGTAACCGGTTAATCGAGTACTCGATCGAACGTCCGAATATCGGTTAACAAAATTGATATTCGATTACTCGGAAAAAATATTTATTTTCTACTGTTTTTGCGATTTAGAAAGATTAGTTCAGAAATTAGGAAATGTACACGTATCTGTAAAAATACTTGTTAAATGCAATAAAAACATCCTTGCAGAGGTGTGAAAATGATATCTTAAATTAAACGAGGCGATTAGCAATTTGACATGCGTATTGGATTGAACATAGTCCTGTGTCGTTTACATACGGCCTCTTATGATATTTAATAACCTTTAAATATTAGACAGTTTGTAGCCGAAACTTGTTAATTATAAAAACGTAAATATATATACGGAATATTATGTTGAAACTTTGTATTTTGCTACGAGCAGCGGTTGAAAAATTGATATCTCAATTTTCCTACATTGCGAGTAGAAAAATGCATAGGCTCAGAAAGCTACTACAACATAATTTTCCTTTTATTATATACCTTTTCGTTTGAATTATAAATGATTTTCATTATACTACACTTCTATAAGAAATTTCAGAAAATTAAATGTAGCTGTCAAGAAATAAATCTATGACCGACGGGTGAATACGTAGTTTTTGCAAAGCCCGCCACGCCTTTTTATAATTTTGGTGTCCGTTTCCAAATGCTACGTTTATACACAGCTAAGATCGGAACCAACGTCAAAAATAGTCCGGCACTTCCATATATGGTACCGTATTTGTCACTAACATAAAAAGGACTTTTCTATCCGTTGAAGCGTATTTGCGCTTCAAGTTCATCCTGTATTCTACGGAGAAAATTTGTAGGTACAATGTATATCATGTATTTCTTGCAGTCCTATTTATAGTTACGAATTCTATGAATTAAAATTGAAAACGAAAGTAGCATGCAGAAGGTGCTGATATTGTGTGATAAAACTTTAAATATCATTGGAAATCATCCGAGTAACTGAGTACTCGATCGGAAAAATGACCGAGTACTCGAGTATTGATTTTGGTATTCGTTGCCATCCCTAATATATAAGGAAAACCTATGACCCCCGGGGCGGGGCTGATTTTGACACAAGAGGCAAAATTTGAACAATCGTGGTAAAGTACCTATAGATATTAACACATAACAAATATTAAACCCCTAAGCCTTGTATCTTCAGACAAGAAGGTATTTTAAGTTTTTACTATATGTACAGTATATAGTGACAATCAATGACCCCCAGGGCGGGGCCAATTTTGACCCCAGGGCTATAATTTGAACAATCAAGGTAGAGGTCTACCAGACAATGCCTTATGCAAAATATCTTAGCTCTAGGCCTTTTGGGTCTTTACCAGAAGATTTTTAAATTTATTCTTATAATTCCTTTTGGTTGCCATGGCAACCAGATTTCTGCATGGAATGAAATTCTTTGAACAACTTTGGAAGCCCTTCACCCAAATATCAATCCTGCCAAGTTTGGTTGAAATTGGACAAGTGGTTTTTCACAGAGGATTTTTTAAGTTCACTATATAATCAATAGAACACACATACATACAAACACACACACACACACACACACAAAGGTGAATCGCTATATGACATCGCATTGCAGATGCTGGGGTGGCATAAAAACAAAGAGCATTTACTCCAAAAATTAGGTAAGGCACAGTTACGGTTCTTTTGCACTGCACTTCTACTCAATGAGATCTATCTACCCACAAAATTTGAAGTTGATATCTCTAGTATTTTCAGAGTTATGTCCTGGACAAGAAATCTGCAACAACCTGACTGTCCAACGGCACCAGCTGAATCCAGTATATAATATTAAACCTCGATTGCCTGGGATATAATTAGTAAACAACCTTCCCTTCTCAAACCAATATGCTCACCTGCTCAATCTCATTCCACATACTTAAAAAATCATTTCGTTGAATTCCAGCTGTTGATATATGACTCACCTGAAATATGAACTAAAGTGTTGTAGCATAAACAATACAATCATAATTCAATACAGTTACTAAAATGTGGTAAATTCATGTTTATAAACATTTCTATTAAGTTTCATGACTCTAAATTAAATATATTTTCAGCTATGCACATCAAAAATTGAAAATTGCAGATTTTCACTACATTAAGCAGGGCCCTCGATCAACCAAATCTGTGGCCGATAATCGGCCGCAGTCCCCCACCAAAATAGTATGTTTTTTTCCCCCTAACAGAGGTAAAAATTCCCCCTCAAAACATATTAAGTGTTAAAGAAAAAAAAAAAGAAAACTCGTGTTGTTTTTGAAAATTAAAATCAGTCTATTTGACGGCTATTTTGTAAGCAGAATATTGTATACAGTACATGTCTGCACGTTTCTGTTTGTTTTTTTTCCCAAAATCTACCGTCACATATTGGCCATTCATCCTGTAAAAATGCTAAAATTTCAACAGAAATATGCAGAAAAAATCACAATTCTCATCAACAATTCGATTTCAAATTGTTTATTCATGAAATCATTTTTTTTGTCTTCAAAATGTTACATCAACCAAGGTAAATTTTGCCGTAAATTACAAACTTGTAAATTTGTTTTCATGATACTTGATGAAATAACTGATGGAAAACGATCTTATGATAAACAATAAATTTAATTATATATAATTTACATCAGCAACAACTAGAATTGTGGATGTGTAAGCAGAAAACAAACATATTTTGATTTGTCACATATTTTCGCAATGTTGATTTTTACAATTGTTTTACAAAGTCAAGAAAAGGAAGCTTTGTCTTATTAAAAGGTGTGTTTAATAATAATACTAGAAATGTATTTTATGAATATAATTTACTTTAGGTCCATGTATTGTTCATATTAGTGGAAATGGAGACATTTGTCTGAATGTGTTTCTTAATGCTTATTTTAGGGTGGGAGGGGGGAGTGAATCATAAAGAAAGCTAAGCAGCATAAAGGTCTGACGATGTAAGGTGTTAAAAACTTTTCTTAAAATCTTATCAATAACTTTTGAACAGTTTAGTGTTACCTATTTGGGTTTTTTTAAAAATAAGATGCATTAAAATAAAAAACAGCTTATATCTAAGTAACTTTATTTGATATTTGACCATAAAAGAAAAGAGGAAAATTCCCCCTGCTGAGGGTAGCGACCCACTTCCCCCAAATTGGATTGAGGGCCCTGTTAAGGGCAATAACTCTGACAAAACATATAAATTCACAACCTAAACACCTTGACCTTTGACCCATAGGCCCGAAAATCAATTTTAATCATCTATGTTAAGTACAACATTTGATGAAGAGTTGTTTTTTTTACGTTTTTTTTTTTTTTACTGTAAACAAGGTTTTTTAATTGAGACCACAATTGCTTGGATTATATTTATTTTTGTGTAACTGATGCGAGATGTATCCAGACTCTAAGCTTTTTTATCTGTCTCTGTATTAAATTTCTGATTATGTTTTCTAAATTCATGTAAAAGCGAATCTCTCATATTTATCTCATATTCATCAATTCTAATGCTATAGTCTAACCAAGGTTCACTACTTTGCTTAAGTCTTACTTCTTTTTCAGGAGCCACTACATCTTAAACTGGTAAAAAAATATCTTTAACAAAGAAGTCTGAAGGACAGCTAAATCCCCTTCCGCAGTGAACAATAATGTGTACTTCTTGACGTTTTACCAACCACAACCTTGATGTTATGCCAAGCATATCCTCAGCGCATAGTCTCATGATGGTGATTATTTGTGCCAGGATATTTAAAATTTCCATAAAATAAACAAGAGGGCCATGATCGCTCACTTGACCCATCGAACTCATCCGAACAATTACCAAGACAAGCATTATTACCAAGTTTCATGACAGGTCAGTCAAAAATGTGACCACTAGAGTGTTAACAAGGATTATCCATATTTGAGCAGTGTGACTTAGTTTTTACCCAGATGACCCATATTCAAACTTGACCTAGAAATCATCAAAATAAACTTTTCTATTTTTAAATCCAGTTGACCTAGTTTTTCATCTGAGATGTCCCTTGTCCGAACTCATCCGAGCAATTACCTAGACAAGCATCCTGACGAAGTTTGATGACACTTGAGTCAAAAATGTGACCACTAGAGTGTTAACAAGGTTTTTCTATTTTCAGCTCCTATGACCTAGTTTTTCATCTGAGATGACCCATGTTCGAAGACGAACTTATCCGAGCTATCACCTAGATATTAGCACCCTGACCAAGTTTGATGATGATTCAGTCAAAAATGTGACCGCTAGAGTGTTAACAAGGTTTTTCTATTTTTAGCTCAGGTGACCTATTTTTTCATCCGGGATGACCAATGTTAAAACTCATCCAAGCAATCACCTAGACAAGCATCCTCACCAAGTTTGATGATGATTGAGTCAAAAATGTGACGGCTAGTGTTAACAAGGTTTTTCTATTTTTAGCTCCTATGACCTAGTTTTTAATCTGAGATGACCCATGTTCGAACTTATCCAAGCTATTACCTAGACAAGCATCCTGACAAAGTTTAATGATGATTGAGGCAAAAATGTGACCGCTAGAGTGTTAACAAGGTTTTTCTATTTTTAGCTCCTGTTACCTAGTTTTTTATCGGAGAAGACCCATGTTCGAACCTATACGAGCTATCACCTAGACAAGCATCCTGACAAAGTTTGATGATGATTGAGGCAAAAATGAGACCCCTAGAGTGTTAACAAACAAGTGTGGACGGACGACGGACATTCAACGATCCTAAAAGCCCAAGGTGCATTAGTACACATGCTGACCAACATTATTGTAAACTTTCAGGCCTACAAGTCAAATACTTTTAGAGCTATGCATGAACAAGTTGAAAATTGCAAATTAATACCACTGTAAGTCAAGGGCAATAACTCTAACAAAACTGAAAACAAGATTGCATTTGAGAACAAGAGCACCGCTAGGCGGAGCATTATATGCCCGAAATTGATTTTTTTTTTTTTTTTAGTAAAGATGAAGCATTTGTAAGACATTGGAATTAAATATAGTATTACCTCCTTCAAATAACAATCCTCCTTTGAAGTTTCAATATTGTGGTCCAAATGGAACTTAAGTTATGCCCAAGAAACTGTTTTCAGTTCTAAGGTAATACTGACCTTGACCTTTGACCTTGTGACCCCAAAATCAAAAGGGGTCTTCTACCCAATATGGACAATCATCCTATGAAGTTTGAACATTGTGGGCCAAATAGAACTTAAGTTATGCTCCGGAAACTGTTTTTAGTTTTTAAGTTAATAGTGGCCTTGACCTTTGACCTTGTGACCCAAGAATCAATAGGGGTCTTCTACAAAATACTGCGAATTCACTTATATTCGTGGGCATGAAAGTTCGTGGTTTTATCAAAACGGGCATTTTCATGGATTCTTAAATTCGTGGATTTTCATTTTCTTGTTAAAAAAAAAATTCAGTAACCTAATGCAAAGTAATCTTAATAGCCGAACATTTTTACTTACAACATGTACATATCTTTGTCACAACAGCGGTTGTCAATAAATTTAATCCTTGCCTCTGGGCATAACTCTAATACAGTACAGTTACTGCCGATAATTGACTGCAATTAACACATTTATGTGACATGATATGCACCTCCATTGGACACACTGCCCCTGTAATTCGCCGATGTAAACATCGCATAATTTATACGACACCTGGCGAGTTTGAAAGTTTACACTTTACATATTTGACAGTAACTACACGCAACGTCACAGCGACTGTGTAAATTTACATGCATATAAATTATTCTCGGTAAATAACACGAGTATATGTGGATCTTGTAAAAGTCGGTGGCGAATAGCATTCGCACAAATACTGATTAAAATTCATATAAACTGGATCATTTAAAAACAACAAAAGAAAGTACAATGAATCTGTTTTAGCAATCGTATTTTTTATAGTTTTGTGTACTTACGACATTGAGATTAATGTCAAAGACTTTTTTTTTAAAAATTAATAAGAGCAAACTGACAATTCTTTCGGGCATATAAAAATGCTATGCCACCGCATAAATACAACACTAAATAGTAGTGTAGGAACAGATTTTTTATGTTTCTTTACAATTGAAGATTGTCATAATGCATAGATCCCTGACTTATCTAATTCTTATTATCAGATTAGTGGTTAAATCTGTTGTTTATCCAATAAAAGATCAGAGTAGGAATATATCAATGCACCTGAGTCTAGTGAATTTGGTGGTGAAGGTCATATTTCACACAGCCTAAATTTCATGACTACATCAAAGGACAACACAGTAATACACTTTGTCAAAATCTAGGTCAAATGATATCAAAGTTCACTTTACATCTTAATCTGTTCACATGGGTCAAATTTCATAGCCGTACATCAAAGGACAAGAAAGTAGGTCACATCATCAAAATGTAGGTCACTTGATATCAAAGTTCAATTTTACAACTAAAACTGTGCACATGGTCAAAATTCCATTGCTGTACATCAAAGGACAAGAAAGTAGGTCACTGCCAAAATTTTGACTCAAGGGTTTAATTTAAAACAATCTTGATACAGGTCCACCAAACAACATTTCAAGTCAAATATCTAAGCTGTAGCTTTCTCCCATTCAGAAAACATTTGTTTTATTTTCTGTTTTTACTATCTGTACATAATGAGAATCAATGCCCCCAGACAGGGCAAATTTTGACACCAGGCGAAAAATTTGAATAACTTTGGTAGAGGACCTATAGATGATATTACATAGCAAACATCAAAGCTCTATGCCTTGTACCTTCAGACAAAAATATTTTCTATTTTTTTTACTATATGTACATAATGAAAATCAATTACCCCCAGGGTGGAACCAATTTGACCCCAGGGCTATAATTTGAACAATCTTGGTAGAGGTTCACTTCACAAAGTCTCATGCCATATATTTAACCTTTGTCAATTCAGAGAAGAAGATTTTCAAGTTTTTACTTTATACATAT